CTGATTGAGTTCTTGATATATATAAGTTAATGAGATTAATTTATTCGTGCATAAATTAATATAATCTATAGAGTATCTCAAAAGTTTTATGAAAATTTTTGTTATACACGATCCGCCTCTTCCCCGCACCACCGCGCTTCCGCAGCCGAATTCGATTCGGCAACCAACATGTTCGGCTACAACAGTGGAGGCTGGGATCGAAAAAATATCCATTGCTAGTCGTGTTAGGATCGGCCAAGTTAATGCTCGTGCCCTCTACCACTAAACCAAATCAAATATTTCACTATGATCTACAACTAAGCCGTCACTCAGGCACGCCATTAACTCGTTAAAGCCGCCACTGTTGCCGCCACCTCTTGATAAAGACCCACTCCCAGATTCTTCTTGACCTTGAGTCGTCGTCGTCGTCTTCTTCTTCTTCTTAGACAACCCGAAAACATTCAAGAATGAATGTGGATTGTCACCTCGTTATTGCGGTTCTTCTACACGAGATGTGTTTCTAAACCTACTTTCATAAGAGCTATAGAGAGAAAATATTTTTTCCTTTATAATAGGAAATTGGTCAGTAGTGTCAATAGCTAAAAAGTCACCTAAGTTATCTAATCCACTCTCTAAACCATCTAATTTTAATCTAGGATCAAAAATAACACCGAAACCATACAATATTGGTAATTTAGACCAATATTTTTTAAGTTTCTTTTCCATAAAGGCGATAGGAACTCCTAAAATCTCGTGTGTCCTATATTCGCTAAATAAAATAGACATTCTTAAAAGTTCTCCTAACGCTAATGGTGACGTTGGGTAATAAGTTCCACTAAGCGTTAAAGTAACTTCGTGAAATCTACCTAAAAAGTTAAACAAGAGTTCGGCAATTTGCCAATCAGTTTCATCTATAAATCCTGCTCCTAATTTTGCACTAACATAATTTGTTATAGCATCTTTATAGGGGATGCATTGTTCAAGCATTATATAAGTGGAGTTTCATCTGGTGGACATATCTAAGGCTAATGCTCTAGGATTTTGATTACATGCTTGTAGAAATCTAAACCAATCTTGTATTCTTTGATTACTACATTGAATCCAAGCAATGTTATCTCTAATTCTTTTAATATGACCTGACATTGATTTTAAACCGGATTTTACTATTAAATTAATTATATGACATGCACAACGTTGGGGAAATATATCATTATTATCGAATAAACTTAAATCATTTTTAAAAAGTTCTATTGCTTTAGTATTTGCAGTTGCATTATCTAATGTTATGCCCATTATTCTATCTCTTAAACTATATTCGTCAATGACAGATAAAATTATGTATATATTAAATTAGCAGTATGTGATCCTATAATATATTTAAAACCTAATATTCTCTTATCTAAATCAAAACCTTTATAACAATGTCTGGTTACAGCTAAGTAATCTTTGTTGGCAACGGTGGACCAAATATATGCCATTAACGCAACGCAACCACTAGTAGAGTGTAAAAGGTTGATTAATACTTCCTTTTCTTGTTTATATAATTTTAATGCATCTTTCCTAAGAGAAGTTCTTGAAAAAAATTGTGCATTAGGATCATGTACAATTTTAATATAACATTATCAATTTCTTTGTTCAGTAAAACTAAGTGGTTAATCTAATGTGGCTACTAAGCGTGCCATTTACATACGATCGA